CCCGCCCGCCCGGATGCGGCTGTCCCCACCTGCCACCCGGCCCTCTGCGGACAAGGCCGCCGGCCGCGGGCTTCCTATTTTGCATGGGAATTAACCCTTTCCCCGCCCGGAGCCCAGCCACGAAGGAGCGGGGTGCACGGGCAGGACCCCGGGAGGCCCCGGCTCTACGGAGGTGGGCAGGCCGCGGGGCCCGGCCGGGCGCAGGGGGCCTCGGCTGCTGGCTGACAGCGCGGCTCAGCCCCGTGTCTACATGGACGTCTCCCAGGCACAGGTAACTGGGGTCCGGAGGGCCTGCGCTGGTTCCAGGTGTCCAGAAGAGGGGGTGCCCAGGACTGAGGGCCCTTGGGGCTGTGTGTGGGTGTCAACTGGGCTGGGGCTCAGGCCTGCCATGGCCTCTTGCTGGTCCACGGTCTCAGCATGGGAGGCTCCTTCCCAGTCTGGGAGCAGGTCCCTGGAGTCCTCCTGCCAGCCACCCAGCAGCCTGTGGGGGAAGGTGGGACCAATGACCCACCCGCAGGACAGAGCCCACTGGGCAGAGGCTCAGGAGAGATGGGCCTTGGGGGTGCCCAGACCCCCCGGTCAGTGGGTGAGGCTGGAGTAGTGGTGTCACATTGGCTGCAGGGGACTGGGGCCAGGCCTCTCACCCCACATGGCTAGTGGACCCAGTGGTGGCATATTTACCCATGGCCGCCTGGCCTCCTGCTGCAGTGGGCAGCTGCACTGGGTGGAGGGGGCTGGGGCAGCTGGAGGCCCCATCTGTCGCCAGGAGGCTATGGGCTTTCTTCTCTCTGCCTTCTCCAGCTAGGGCCCCTGCTTGGCTGAGTAGGAGACAAACCCCTGCCCTGGAGCCGTGGCCCAAGGGCCCAAGGCCCACTCACGTGTTCCTGGGGCCCCGGCACAGGCTGATCCAGCTCCAACAAAGCTGGGCTTGCACTGCCGGGCCTTCCTGGGTCTCCCTCACTGGAGCAGGGCCCAGCGTGTGCAGTGATGCGCAGGGTCCCTTGGGCACAGCCGGGTCTGGAGGCATTTTCTCCTCGAGTGGGGGATGGGGATGGATGGGGGATTGTTTTGCTGGGCTTAGGGCTGTGGGTGTCATTTGCTCAGAAATGACTTCCGGGGCAACCCCAGGGCTCGGAGATCATGGTGCCAGGAGCAAGTGAATGGCCCAGAACCCAGCAGCGCAGCTGACCAGGCCCGAGGGCAGGGGGTGGAGCTGGCCTTGCCGAGAGCCCCAGGCCTTGGAACTGTGGCAGGCGGGGGTGGGTGCCGGGACTGACCAGGGTGGAGGAAGCCCTTTGCCCACACCTGCCTCTTACACTCCCCGCAGGGCCCAGACTTGCCCTGCGTGGGGTGTCATCACCTTCTCCCTACTCCGGGGTGTCCAGGGCATGCGAGGTCCCTTCCCCCACCCTAGAGAAACAGCAGTTCTGTGCCTCTCTGGCGTGTTTGCATAAACAGCTGCCATCAGGGTGGTTATAGGTGTCAGTTTAATGGCTTCAGAGGAAGAAAGTTGGCAAGGGCCAGGAGCTGTGGTGCCGTGGGCACCGTGTCCCTCCTGCTGGGAGGGGCTGTCCTGGCTGGTGGTGATGACGGGGGAAGGGGACTGGCCTGCTGGGGTGGTGGGCTGGGCCTGCAGGGCTCTGTGTCAGCCTCTACGTGGGTGCTGGGCAGAAGGAGAGGTGGGGTCCTCTGTCCTCCCACTAAGCTCAGCCCAGACTTCAGAGCCCACTCACCTCCTGACCCTACCCCAAGTCCCTCTGCCTGCCCGCGTGTCTCTGAGCCCTAGTTTTCCCACCTGTTAAATGGGATAGTCACACCTACGGCCAGGCCCGGCCGGCGGCAGGGGGTGGCCAGGAGCTCCGTGGGCACTTGCGCTCCACAGACAGAGACCGCTGTTTTGGAGGCAAGTGGTGCATAGACATGGAGACCCCGTCCCCTGAGGCTCCTGCAGACACAGAGGCTTGTGAGAGGGTGCTTTCTGAGGTCTGCTTGTGTCTGGAGGGGTTCCTGCTGGGGTCCACCAAAATCCGGGGGTGGAGGCTCATGTCTGCATCTGCTGCAGAGTTAGTTTACATGTGCGCTCCACAGTCCACGGCAGTGCCACGCGCCCGGGCACTGGGCTCCTGACACAGTCACCCGCCATGCCCCACCGCCGTGCTCAGCTCTTCCTCCATCATGGGATGCGGTGTAGTCCCGATAGAGGTGACGGCAGTGGTCGTGGTCCAGGGTTGGAGGCAGGGGCTGTTGGAACACTCTGGAGGTGGGCTGGGCCCACCACAGCCACCACCAGTCACATGTGGGCAGGGCACCGGGGTGACATGGCTGTGTGGGCGAGCACCAGAAGGGCTGCCTGCTCCGGGGTCCAGCACTGCCCCACGGTTCCTGGCACCCAGGATGTGGGTGCCCTGGGGGACTTCTTGGCTGTTGCAGCCCTGTCGCCTCTGTGCTGTGTGGCCTTGGATCAGTTACCCAACCTCTCTGAAATCAGCTCCACAGAGGTGAAAGCTCGCCCTGGGGAGACCTGGAGGGCGGAGCATGGAAGCTGAGAAACGAGGGGTGCCACATGGGGGGATGGAGGGCGGCATTGCACTGTGCAGTTCGGAGCTAGGGCCCGTCCTGGCGCCATCCCCATTGGCTCACTAGCCCTTTCGTGACTGTCTGGCCCTCTCTGTGGCTCAGTTTCCTAATCTGTAAGGTGGGAGTGACTGCAGTGCCCATGTCTGAGGAGTCAGTGGTGTGGAGTGCTCAGCCGAGGGCAAGTACCCAGGCAGTGCCACTCAAGGCTGACCCTGCAGGGTCAAGGCTGGGGCAGCTTAGGAAACTGAGGCCTGTTGCTCCCCACAGCCCCTGAGCTCCCGTGGAGCCCAGCTAGGATGCTTGCTCACGCAGCCCTGATGAGTGGCTGGGTGCCTGGCCCTGGCCGGGCACGCCTGGGCCTTACTGTGACTGCACTGATGGGGGACAGGGCAGAGGAGGCCATGAGTTCTAGGCTGGGCTTGGTCTGAGCAGCTCATGGAAGAGGGTACACTCCGGGCTTGAGGGGCTGAGAGGGAGCCTGGAGAATGGGCTAGGGGTCCCCGGGAATCCTGCTCACTGGCTATCAGATGTGACCTGCTAGTGATGCAGCCCAAGTGCTGCAGGGGCCTGTGAAGGCAGGTGCAGACGGCTCAGGCCTGGAGAAGGAGCCTGCCCTGACCAGAGTCCCCTCCCCTCCCTGTGGGGCCTGACAAAGGATGCCCTGAGCGAGGGGTGGCCTCCCCCCCAAGACTCTCAGGGCACAGGTGGGCAGCCTCAGTCAGGTCCTTGCAGGGGGTCTGGGTGAGAAGGGCTGGCAGTGGCCTCCCTGGGGGTGGCTTCTCATCCAGGCACGTTCCCCGGGAAGCCAGGCTGTGCGTTCCCTCGGTGGGTCCGTGAATCTGCACGTGTGCCCTGCACGTGTGCCTTGCACGCGTGCTAGCACGACGCACACCTACATTTGCACATGCTCACACGCAGGCAAACAGAGCACACGTGTGTGCCCGTGTGGTGTCATCGCCTACCTGGGGGGCCTCTCCTGGGGCTCCGGGCACCCGTCTCTCCCCTCTGGGCTGGCGGCCCCTCCTGTCGGTTGGGGCCTGAGCTCAGCCTTTCCTGGGCCCTGGCTCTTCTGAGGCCCAGAGCTTCTCTTTGGTCATGGGTGCCCTTGTGCTGGGCATGTTGGTGCCCCGACTGTCACTGAAGTCACGGTGGGCAGGGACATGTGTGTCCTGAGCTGGTGCCCTGAGGCTTGGGGAGCAGGAAGCCATCCCTCCTGGGGGCTGGCCCTAAAGGCTGGGTGGAGTCCCAAAACTGGGAGACAGAAGTGCCCTCCTGACCCTGACCCCTGCTGGGAGCAGCTGACCGTGGAACACGGGTAACTCTGGTCACCGACTTCTGAGTAGTGGCCATGGGCCAGATGCCAGGGCATGACAGGATGGATCTCCCAGCAGCCCCAGCTCAGAGAGGTTCCGCTCCTGCCCTGAGCCACACAGCGAGGTGAGGCAGAGCTGAACAGGCTGGGACGGCCTGGTCCCTCCACCTGAGGTGACGCCAGCCTGTCCTCCGTCCAGGCCAAGCTGCGCAGCTTGCTGACTGTCTTCTGGAAAATTCCCCTTCCCATCTCCTGGGCCAGGAGTCAGTGACCTGGAGGACTGGCCTGTCCCCTGGACGTGCGCGACTGTGAGCAGCCCCTGCTTGTGGTCAGGCCCAAGGCCAGCCCATGCGGGTGTCCACACAGCAGATGGTGACCTCGTGGGCCTGAGTCCCCAGAGCCGGCCGGAGTGGACCTGCGGCTGGAGTGTCATTTGGAGCACGTTGGGAGGGTCTGCCTCCTGCCACTTTGCATTTTCAAGGTGCACAGACTCCCATCATGTCCGCTGCACCTGGGAAACCTGCTCCTCCAGACTCTGCGGTTCTTCCCTGTGCCCCGCTGTCCCCACCTCAAGGGGCTCTCCTGGAGGCATGTGCTGGGTTGAATAGTGTCACCCCTAAATTCATGTCCACCAGAACCTCAGAAGGTGACCTTATCTGGAAATATGGTCTTTGCGGGTCAAGTTAATCAGGTCTTCAACTTGATTAACTTTCTAATCGAGTTAAGATGACCGTATGCGAGCAGGGTGGGCCCTAAATCCAATGACTGGTGTCTTCGTAAGGAGAGGAAAAGACAGATTCACAGAAGAAGCCGTGGGAAGACGGAGGCAGAGACTGGAGTGACACCGCCACAAGCCAAGGAGCCCCCGGAGCCCCCAGAAGCTGGAAGAGGCAGGAAAGACCCTCCCCTGGAGCCTCCAGAGGGAGCGCGGACCTGCCCCACCTTGACCTCTGGCTTCTGCCCTCCAGAACCTTGAGAGAATAAATTCCTGTTGTTCTGGCCACTGGTGTGTGGTCCTTTGTTACTGCGGCCCCAGGTTTTGGCCTTGCCTGGGGCCCACCAGCCTCTGTCCCCAGGACAGCGGTGCCCCCTTACAGGGTCATCCTTGGAACAACATGTGGGCACACACGTGTGCAGGGCCTCGGAACACGCCAGCTCCCTGGACGACAACGTGGAGAGGCAGCAGGCAGGGCAGGCAGCCGTGTGGGCTGTGCACGGTGGCAGTGAGGACCTCAGCCCTCTGTCCTCATGTGGCCAGTCCCCAGATGGCACAGGTTCTGCTCAGACACCCAGACCCCATCTCTCGCTCATGGAGCGCTTCCTGAGGGTGGGCTGCACCCAGCCCCACTGCCAGGCCCTCCTGCTGGGCCCTGCGGCCACCTGCCCCTCTTGTACAGCTGACTCGACCACATCTCGGACGGGAATGTGATGCAAACCGGCACCTGTGGGGCCCCGGCCTGTCGCCCACGGTCTGCTGGCCCCACTGGCCTATGCTCAGGTGGCATGGGCAGCACGGGCCCGAGAGCCCTACCTGTGGGCCGTGGTGCCAGGAGGGCTTTGGCATGTGGGACCCTCTGGGCCTGGCCCCCGATCCCTGGTCCCTGGCCTGCCATTCCTAGAGGAACTAACAGCAGCAGGTCAGGCGGCCAGGGCCTCCCCACCCCCAGCAGAGGAAGCCAGCAGAGGAAATGAGGGCTGCGGCCGGGGCCGGAGCCGGTTCCCAGGCTGCCTGTGAGGACTGTCACCACAGGCGGTGTCCACCCTGACCCCCCTGCCCTCCTCTGCCAGGGCCCGGGCCTGGGGTCAGGGGGCTGGGTGCCTCCGGGTGGGTTGAGGGGTCCTGAGCTTCTCTCTTGGGTTAGTGCTGCAGTCGGAGCCACACGGGAGCGGCCGTCCAGAGCCTGGTACGTGGGGTCCTGGGAGGTCTCCGGCCGTGCTCCTGTAGCTGACCCTGGGCTGTGCTTGTGGGGGGCTGTGGTCATGGGGTCTCTGCTTTTGTGCGGACCCTGCCACAGGAGGTGGTCATGCCTAGGGTGGGCAGGGCCTCTGCAGCGGCGGTGCTGGGCAGTCCAGGGTCACCTCTCACGGGGCTTGTGGCCTGCCCGCCCCTGCCTTATCCCTAGAGAAGACATGGTGGTGATGTTCTGCTCTGCCCGCCAGGACGGACACCCAGCCCCACCCACATGCCAGGGTCTCCAGGGAGCCCTTCCTTGTTGCTGGTCTGGGCACGTGGCATTGGGCTCACCAGGGAGACGACCTGCTGGCCCGAACGAGCCAGGTTACTCCACGTGCGGAGGCCGAGGCTTGAGGCCGGTGTGGGATGGGGCTGGGCTCTGTCCTCCGTCTCTGGGAGTCTCCCGAGGGCGTCCAGTGTGCAGTAGGCCTCGCTGCTCCTGCCGTCTTGAAATCCTAATGATTTGGAACAAGGCCTCCTGGTTTTCACTTTGCACTGGGCCCTGCAAATCCTGCAGCTGCTCAGTCCTGCTCCAGGGCGGCCTGTCCAGGCTCAGAGCCAGGCTGGGCTGGCAGGACGTTCGGGCAGGTGGTCACTTTACAGAGGGACGCAATGGCTGTTGTCACTGGCCAGGCTCCCTTTTTGCATTTGTTGCCTGAAGCCATGGAGCTGTCTGTGGACCCCGCAGTGAGCAAGTCACGTGCCGGCCTCTGCTCTGTGTGCCTGGTGCTCTCGCCTGGCCTCGTGCCTGAGGGTGGCTCCTGTCGCTGAGTGTCGCAATATTTCACCTGTCAACGCAGCTCTGCACACTTATCTGCTTGAGGGTGGGCCAACGTCACATCTGTCCAGCTCTGCGCGGTTCCCTGTCATGCTGCCGTGAGCATTGTAGTGTCTCTCTCTCTGTGTCTCTGTCTCTATTTCTCTTTCTGTGTCTCTGTCTCTGTCACTGTGTCTCTGCGTCTGTCTCTCTCTGTGTCTCTGTCTCTGTGTCTGTCTCTGTCTTTTCCTTACTGAGATATAATTCACCTGCCCTATGGGGTTTTTAGTATCTTCTCAGAGCCGTGTAGTCATCACCACCATCAATTTTGAAACGTTTTTGTTCCCCTAGTAAAACCCCATCCCATTAGCTGTGGCTCTCATGCCCTGCTCCCAGCCTGGCAACCCCGAATCTTCTTCCATCTGGAGTCACCTGGCTGATGTCCGTCTCATACACACAGAATCCCATGGTCTTTGTCCCTTGATCGCCCTGTCCAGCCTGCGTTGTGTAGATGCCAGGAGTGGGCCTGGTCTCAGGGGATGC